AGTACTTACTTAATATAAAAACAAGTTCCCAGCTGAGAATGTAAACTGTCATCATTCTGCCAGGAGCCTAATTTGTTAGCAACTCTAGTGGCCACATGATGCTAACTCCAGGGCTACTGCCCCACTGTTTCCCTAGGAGAGAATCCCACAGACAGCCCCTGTCCTAGGATCTTCCTGGCCAGAGAACGTTTGGTGGCACTAGCTGGCACTCTGAGTGGGATAAATTCAGCTCCCAGGAAGAAAAAGGATATGGTATAGCACAATCGGAAATCTTTCCAACTAATTAAGGAGCCATGTGGGAGTTGTGCTGGCGGCATTCTCATTTGTAAAGGAAGGAAAGACGCTTTTGCGAATAATAAAGAAAAGCAAGGGAAACAGTTTGCTGAATGCACATGGATTTAGAGCTGAGTCTTCCCCCTAACAATGTTGCCCATGAAAATGAGGTATCAAGCTCTTTTTCATTTAAGCTCTGGGTCGATATGATTTTCAAAGGTCACGATCAATATACATCAAAGCCCCTTTGTCCTCTGAAGACAAATACTATCAGAGCCTCCAAATCAATAAACCAAATCAGCAGCTCAACTAGCTAAATTTCTTGATATAATGAAGAAAGGTTGCAAAAGAGGTGGTGACTGTTGCTTCTGTCTTTTTAATTGAATAAAAAGATTATTTATAAACCATTGTGGCCATCACTCCGATGTTTCCTCTTTGCTTTGCCATTACTCTGGTAAAATATATTTTTTAAAATTAAAGACTCAATTACATGAGGGCAGCAACCTGCTCCCCCATCCACCTTTTTGAGACAGTGGATCCATCATGGCCTAAAGACACACATGCTTCTGATCAACCCAGCAACTAAGAAATCTCTTCACCCCGATGAAAGACACTTAGATAATAACACACCTCTTACTTACAGGGAAATCAAGGCCAGAATTCCAGAGGGGAAAGCATATTGAAAATTTAGTTTCTAAAGTGATGTGTTTATATCAAACATATGTATACCTATACCTGCCATCAATTGCTGTAAAACCTGAGGCAACATGTTTACAATACCTATATATATAAAAGCCTAAGCAACTGGCCAACCCACTGGCCAACTGGCCAACTGGCCAGTCGCTCTGATGCACAATGACCACCAGGGGGCAGACACTCAATGCAGGAGCTGCCGAAATGCAGTCACTTGGCAGCAGTGGTTCTTGGGTGACGCACCCAGAACCAGAGAGGAGGGAGCCCAATTCCAGTGTACGCCACCTGAGAACCGCCGACTCGCAATTTGGGACCCCTCAGGGGATGTTGGAGAGCCAGTTTCAGCCCAATCCCTGCAGGCCAGGGCGAGGGACCCCACCAGTGCACGAATCTGTGCACCGGGCCTCTAGTGTTTACATATGCCTCAATAAAATACATAATATATATTTTAAAAGATGCTGTCATGTATACTCAAGTGACAGCATTCAGAAAAACACAAATTATTACCCCCTTCTTCTCATTTATGCTAGAATAAAGGCTGGACACCTGTAATCACTCTTATTCCTCAGGGTCCCATGTGAGTACTATTGTATACTCAGCATCACTGTACTGAGGTTGCTATGTATGGGGCTGAAATCACATCAGCAGAGACACAGATCTGACCACCATGGTGCTTATTCTCCCTTGGACAGATAGAATACACACAACCAACAGATTACTATGAGTTGGAATAATCAGGGAAGACGTCACAGCCTTCCAGAGAGAAGGATAGGACAGAAACACACAAAAACATCATCTCTTCAATGTGACCTTTTCTCTCTTTTCTCTCCTTTTGATTGAGCTGGCCTCATTCAGCACCTGACTCACCTGCCTCCTCTCCCTTGCACATTCACTCCCTTAACCATTAAGCCCTCAGGACAATGAGGTTCTGATCCGCATCAGACAGTCACAGGAACAAAGCCCAGGGTCTGTTGATCCCAGACACAGTTTCAGTCAAACTAGAGACAATATCTAGGCCTCAGTTGTGTTTCAGCTCCAGGCCCAGAAAATTGAGAAAACCAGATGAAGCAACAACAGGCTGATGTCAGGACCAGGTGTAATGACCAATGACTCCCTATTGCAGTGCCAACCAATCAGTAGAAACCATGACCCTAACTCCCTTAGTCACCATGACTGATGCCCCCCGCCCCCCAATATAATCCATCCCCTGGAAGCCGTCTGGGAGCCAGGTCTTTGAGCATTAGCTCACCTGTGTCTTTAGTGTGGGACACTTCCTCAACTGATAAACCCTTCTTTGCTGCAAACTTTTGTTCTTATCTGATTGGGCTTTGATGTGTGTAAGGAAAATAGACCTTTTTAGTCCAGTAACAAAATCCATGTAAACAGTGAAGGGGGTACAAGCACGGAAGGGGTTAGGAAGAAAGGAGGGTCAGGTCAGAAGCATTTGGTTTGTTGAGAGAACAATAATTGTAATTGTCTGGCTAGAAAATAGAGTTTAAAAGTTGATTTGGGACCACTCCATGTCCACCCAAATTCTTCCTGAAGGTCTTATTACAGGGGAAACAAGTATACTAACCATAATCACTTTATCTTCAATGGTCTGAAATGTGCTTTATTGCAAACAGGACTTGAGTGGATTGAAAAGGAGGGCAGGGCTTGGTGCCCGCCTGTGTCTCTGGTTATACCATTAGCTTTTACACATTTGCAAGATTAGACTGATTTTAAAAAATTATTTCTACAGAATAAGAAATGCACGTGATAGTCCTGATTATAGTCCTTCATTTACAAGGAAAGACTAAGGATTGATGGTTTACCAATTTCAACCTCAGAGTGAACTCTGGAGCCAAAATTAGGTGAGCTGAACACCAGCGCATTCTGAATGGCTACTATAAAAGGTATTCATTGGAGCTTGCTTCTTTTACATAAAAAAAAAAATGTTGCTAATGAATATATGGCAGTGAAAATAATATCAATATTAATTGATTAGGCATTCTTGGCAGATGGTTCTGATAACTACAAAATAAGAGGTTCCTCAAAAAGTTAAACTTAGAATAATGATAGGACTCAGAAATTCCACTCCCAGTGTGCTTGCCCTCTATTAAGCACTTGTAAGATGAAGAGGTAAAAAGTTAAACAGAGTCAAATATGTGCTGATGGAAGAAGATTTGACTTTGGGTGTTGGGCACACAATGATGTGTCATAGAATTATACACCTGAATCCCATATAATGCTATTAACCCACATCACCCCAATACATTTAATTAAAAACCAAAACTTGATGATTTAAATTAATAGCTTTCTTTGTGAATGTCTATGATTACATCAATGAATGAATTAGGTTTCTAAGTTATACCTGGTTCATATAGTTGATCTAAACACACAGAAACGGTGAGTCCACTTAATATGCAATATAATGGAAATAAATGCCATCCTGGGGTTTGGAGACTCATTTGTATTTGAGAAAATAGTTGTAATGTTGTGGACAAAAAGGAGGAAGGAAAAGAGCATTTTCATGAAAAACAATATCAACCAGAAGGGAAAAAGAAAGAGCTTAATAGAAACATATTCTGTGTTGTAGTCTTATCTTAAATCCCCATAAATTTAGCCCCAATTCCTTTAAGGTACAATTTTTAGTCAAAGTCACAGTTGAATTCATTCTCTTGTCCATCACTATGGGCTTTGTTCTTTACAATTTAATTGGAGGCTTTGTATTAAAATGAACCTCAAAGCAATTCTGATGGTTCATTTTTTCATTTCTTTAGTAATAAAATACCACTTGCTTTTATAACAGTGGGTGGCCATGTAATTTCCTTCAAGAGAAATAAAGTACCTAGGTTCCCTTTCCCCCATGGTGTGAGTACAGTGTTAAAAACTTTCACAAATGAAACTGAAACGACCTTTGGCTATTTTGTAAGGAATTAGAAGTCTAAGCCGTGATCTCTCACCAAAGTAGCGATCTAGAACTATTTGAACTGTTACTATCAGAAATGCTCTTTGGCAAGGTGTATACTCTATGTTCTCAGGTTCAACAGAGCTCCTATAGAGTAAATTATTCCTTCAGTGATGAAATATTCTTATTTATCTTTCAGAGCATTACTTATGTTTAGTCAGGAATGCAAGAACTCTCTGAGGTTCCAAGGTCTAGCCTCAGCCAAAGTTGTTCAGCACATGAAAAAAAAAAAATCCTAGAATAAATAATTGCATATATCTAATTTTACTCTCTCTTTTGGGCAATTTCGATCGGCAAACATTTTAATTAACACATGGTGTATATGAATGCATGATAGCAGCTGTTAATATGCATGTTTAAGACTGAGAGTGTGATGACTTATCTAGACACAAGGGCAACATATGTTGAGCTAAGCATACGGATTGTAATATGAATTACGATGCTAACACACAGAGCACAGAGGGACACAGGCAATGGACGCCTGTCCCCATTTAATCAGCTAACATTTTCTAACATATACTAGAGAAGGCTTTCTATTATTTTAACTGAGGAACATGAACCTTGATAATACCTTAAATCAGCTTCAGACTTTTTAAAAAAAATATATTTTATTGATTTTTTACAGAGAGGAAGGGAGAGGGATAGAGAGTTAGAAACATCCATGAGAGAGAAACATCAGCTGCTTCCTGCACTCCCCCCACTGGGGATATGCCCGCAACCAAGATACATGCCCTTGACCTGAATTGAACCTGGGACCCTTTAGTCCCTAGGCCGACACTCTATCCACTGAGCCAAACCGGTTAGAGCAGCTTCAGACATTTTGAAGCATGTAACTATTTTTCCTGTGAGTGCAAATTCAGAGTATTTTTTTTTAAAAAATTATCATTCAAGAGAGAAACTGGAAACGAAAGCTATCAGGACCATCTTGAGGAAACCTCAAAATATCGAAACAGATTGTGTTTTCCTGCTTTAAACATTTTATCTCATTACACGTTTAATAGAGGAGATGGTTTAGTTCTCTTGAACACTATTAGTTAAATTTACAAAATAGCTGGTTGGAGATATTAGAGAGAAAACACATTACCTTCTCTTGGTACTGCCGTCTGGAGGAATCCAGAGACTGGATTAAAGCCGTGGCGTGGCCCACAAACATGGCGTAGCAGGTGGCCCCCACGATCATGCTCAGCATGGTGATCCACAGGTCCGACATGCTGACCGGGGCCTGCGCGCCGTACCCGATGCACAGCATGTGGCTCATGGCCTTGAAGAGCGCATAGGAGTACTGCTTCCCCCAAGAGTCATTCTGGAACAGAGGAGAAAGAGAACAGGGACTGAGCCAGCCGGAGAGCAGGATAAACCGTGAGCACGGCCTTACACAGGAGTGTTCCAGTCACTGAGCCTGGAGACACCTGGGAACGCAGCATTTGCACAGGAGGCTCTCCTAATGGCTCACAGACAGACCTGATGGTGTTCCAAGCCTGCCTGGCACTATGAACTAGACCAGCGGTTCTCAACCTTGGCTGCACATGAGAATCACCTGGGAATCTTTTTTAAAATCCTGATGTCTGGGCCTCATCCTCCGGAAATTCTGTTTCTTTGTTATGGGGTGGGGCCACAACATTAGTAACAAAGAAACAGAATTTCCAGAGGATGAGGCCCAGAAATCAGGATTTTAAAAAGATTCCCAGGTGATTCTAATGTGCAGTCAAGGTTGAGAACCACTGAACTAGACCATAGTCCACTGTTAAGATATACCTTCCTATTCAGTTTTAGGTTTGTTGTTTTTAAAACTAAAATCACTTTTGGGACAATGGTGTGGGCATCACATAAAAATGCCAAGGATGAATGCTGATGAGCTCATTTCAAAGTTTCCAGAAAATCTGGCCTTTCTGAAGTCCTTAATCTTATATTTCTTACATTTGTGAAGTCCTTAATCTTACATTTCTTAAATAAAAAAAGTAAGCAGTTTGAAATACAGGTCTGATAAATGGAAAGATTTACCTACAAATGTCAGGGTTGATGATAAATCTCACTGGCTTTTTAAAAAATACTAAAATAGATTAAAATAAGCAAATAATATCTTGGCAAATCTCTGGGGGAAATAAGATGACTTCTTAGATTAGTTATTAGATGCAGTTTATGATGTCATTTCAAAAGTTTATTCCAAGCTCAACTCTCCAAAAATAAACTGTCCAATATACCTTATCTACCCTTTAATAAAATTATTTTTTGTTTAATTTGCATCAAATTTCCTAGGCCCGGAATTACATAATTTATGAAGCCCACTATAAACTGAAAGTTTGGACGTTTTAGTTCAGAACTCAGAAAAAAAAAAAAAAACATTGTTAAAGACAAAATATATAAATATTTTTCCTTTAAAATATATTATTACAAATCTTAACATGGTAATAGTGACTGATTAGTAACAACATAAAGGTACATCATTTAAAAAATATTGTGGTATGATTATATATCATACAATAAATAATAATACTGTATTATTGTAATATCTTGATTGATCACACACTTTTTCTGGTTTATTTTCTGCAAAGTCACTTCCTGGGTATCAAAATTCATTTAATTCGAAATTTCGTTTTTAATGATAAAATTGAAAGTGGCATCAGTTGCTTTTGGCTAATAAGATCACAAATAATTCTTGATGCTTTTTTTAATCTCAAGAAAGATCGTTTTGTTGATGCAAATTTTTCTGGAGTTATTAAGAGTATTCTGTAGGCTGATTTAACATTGGGATAAATTTCTGATAAATTATTTATAAACATATAAATATCAGTACGCTGGAGTTTATTCTCATAGAAGAATTTATCTACAAAGATAAAACACTTCATACAAGTCAGTTTCATGTATGTGTAAATGTGATTTTTAAAAAATTAATCTTTGTATGTTAATTATGGTTTAAAATGCAAATTATAAAAAATAATAAAGATGTACCCTTCACCAGTTTTCCCCAATGGTTACATCTATAATATAATGTCACAGTCAGGAAATTAACATGGATACAATACAGTGATCTCATCCACATTTTAATAATTTACATGTACTCATGTGTGTGTATTTAGTGTTACGCAATTTTATTGTCTGTGTAGGCCTGTGTATTAATCAACACAATCAAGATACAGAACAACTGCATCCCTTCTACTGCCTTTATACTGAATTTGATGTAAATGTCTCAATGGTATTTTAATATTTTCTCTAACATTTCTGGTAACTTGTTGAGGTCATACAGGAAACCAAAAGTAGCTTTATGATTTGTATGCAACCCCAAATTCCTGTTTACGTATTATTTTCCCTTACTTTCAATTACAAGAAAGAGTTTAATTTTAAAAAAAAATTATCTTCCTTGTTAATAATTAGCTCATTTACAGCTGCACATGAAAACAGTGTTATGTTCCATCAACATAACATGATCTTTGAATTTAATCTGTGTTTCTAGGCTGGTGGATATTTGCTTTGCAGATGTTTTCAAAACTGGGCATTGTAAGCAACAAAGAATTCTAATAACTCCCTCAAATGCTTTCTTGCAATGTCCATGTGTATTCTCTATTTGGTAATAATTTATTGGCAGAGTTTATTTCCTGCGCTCCGCAGACACAGCCTTGGAACTTGGGCAGAAGATTTAATATTTGTGTAGAGACTGCAGGAATAGGCTCCTGGGAGTGACAGGCAGCTGGCCTCTCGCCGTGGGTTCTCTCCCGGTCTGCCTCAGGGGAGCTCCCCCTATCTCCTTGGCGGCCACTACTGCTGCTGCAGCTGCCATTGCCACTGCTAGCCTGGTGAGCTCTGCTTTGGTGGCGCTGGGGACACACAGCATCCCAGACTGATGAGGCATGCCTGTGCGAGCCTGGTGCCTGGCCAACTGCTGGCTTTGCACTGCCTCCTGTGCCTGCAGGCCTGGCCCTGTGTGTGCCCAGCTGCCCCCTGCGGCCTCTGCTCATCATGTCCATGCCCCACTGTCCCAGGGGACTGCACTTACAAAACATAAAATAAAAAATAAAACAATTAAGAATTTCAAGATAGCAGCAGCAGAGCATTAAACCAAACACAGGGTCCTGCTGACAGTGTCCTTGAGCAACGACAAGGTCACACCCTACCCACACGCCCAGGAAGCCATTCCTGCCTCAGTCAATAACTCTTGCATGATCAGAGATGTTTAAAGTTATTTTTTAAAATATTAAATATATGTGGATATTTTGTTCATATTGTAACGGGGTTTTCCAAAATCAAATTTATAGAATATAAAAATTGAACATGACTTTGGATGTGATGGGCACACAGTGCAATATACAGATCATGTATTGGTTAAGCTTATTAACCAATGTCACTCCAATACATTTAATAAAATAAATAATGTTGGCTTGTCTAATGTGTAGCATGCATTCATCACCAAGTGTGCCCTCGTGTTCACATATTAGATCTCCCGAGCTCATACTTCTCATTCTTGTATGTATCTTTCTTTACCCTCTGGAGGGTTCCAAAAAAGCTTGTCAATTAGAAACCCAATAAACAAACTGATAAGTAACAAAAATGTCTTGGTGGCCATTTGAAAACAACCAAATTGTCCTTTGATAGATGATTGGATAAAGAAGATGTGGTATATACATACAATGGAATACTACTCAGCTATAAGGAAAGATGAAATTCTGCCATTTGCGACAACATGGATAGATCTTGAGAATATCATGCTCAGCGAAATAAGTCAGAAAATATTAACAACCATATGGTTTCACTCATATGTGGGATATAAAACTGAAAGCAATAAACGAACAAACAATAAAGCAAACAAACAAAAACTTGTGGACACTAACAATAGTATGGTGGTTACCGGAGGGAAGGGGAGGGGAGAATAGTAAGAGATGAAGGGGGCCAACTCTATGGTGATGGAAGAAGATTTCATTTTGGGGGGTGGGCACATAATGCAATGTTCAGATGATGTACCATAGAATTATACACTTGAAACTTATATAATCTTGCTAACCAGTGTCATCCCAATAAATTTAATTTAAATAATTGAACATTATAAGGTTTAAAAGCCCAACCTTGTAAACTTTGGACTTGCATGTAGATGCTGACAAAAATAACAGATCCCATTTGGTTGAAAGAGTTAAGTTTCATAAAGTGAAATTCACTGTTATTTACTTCTAAAATGAGGTCAAGCTGCCATTTATCTGTCTATCATCTAATCTATCTATCTATCTATCAATCATCTATCTATCTATCTATCTATCTATCTATCTATCTATCTATCTATCTATCCATCCATCTATTTATCTGTCCATTTATCTACCTGAAGAGTTTCTCATAAATCAGCCAGTCTAAATTATAGAGAAGATATGTAAGAGAATAAGGAATACAGTAGGAAACAGAGTGGAGGCCAGAGTCAGAGGGGTGAGAATATTTTTCAACACGATACAGGAAGCTGCTGAAAGTTTTCAGCAGGGAACGCTATCAACTGAACGTACTCCAGGAAGATTGATCCGGAAGAATTGTTGAGCAGTGGCTCTCCAACTTTGTGGAGACAAGGTTACCATGGTTACCAGTCTGCATGCGGAAGATTCCGTGGTTTGAACCCAGGTGCTCTGGCTCTAAAGACTACGCTACTAACCACTACATGATATAGCTCTTGGTTTTATAAACCTACCATACTGATAATTTCAAGAAAAATATTAAGGCTGAGAAATTAACTGCTCAGCCCAAATCTCACATTTAAACTCTTATTTAATATAGTAAATTAAAATAAAGCAAAGAGGAGACCTAAAGGAGGAAAAGCAGGATCTGAGAGGGTTTTATGAAAATTCAGGGACATTTCTATTCCCAATATACCATATTTCTTTTATTACTTGGCTATTCTCCTTTCATCTTTTAAAATTGACTCTATCCTATTTTAGTCTACATCAATAATAACACACACGGGAGACTATATATTCTAAATGCTTTACCATGTCATCTAAATGTTACCCACTTACATACAACTTGGATCCCATTAAAAGTAAAAAATAAGTTACCTATGAATTCTGATTTAATTAGGGTTTATCTTGTTTATAATTTTAGGTAAGGCTTAACAAATGACTCCTTATAAATCAATTTCTTATTATTCAAAAGTGTTCACTCATTTAATTCATTACTTCTCTGAGGCATCATTGAAATTAATTACTTTTTGGGGAAGATACATTAAGCCAAATTAACAGGAACATACATAGGTAAATTTATTATTCCATCTGGGAACTTTCATATAGATAAAGGTATATTTTGAGTTTCCTCAAGGTTTAACTTAAAATACTTTCTAGG